TAGCCCCACTGTATCCAACTGCATTGGGGCTTAACCACTGAGCCTTCAGCCCAGGTGGGCCAGCTGGGGTCTGCCTGGGGGTGCACCTGAGCTGTTCTTGGCAGACGTGTGACACAAGTCTCCCTGCTTCCTGCTGCTCCTGAGCTCGGGGCTGGGGCTGGTGGAGGCCCTGCCCTCCTTCCCACCCCACCTCCAGGGCCTCTACTCTGCACACTTGGGACCCACCACCCCCTTCCTTCCCACACCTTCCCCGTCCCGACCAGGAGTATGCTTGGGTGGGGCTCAGGACAGGTCATCTGCCTTATATGTTGGGGGTCTTGCTCAAGGCATTGGTACTGGGGTTGGGCAGGGCTATCAGTGCCTGTGCGAAGTGGAGATCCCGGGAGGTAGGGGGGCTGCCCCCTCCAGTGGAGGATTTGGAAGCAGGTGGGGGGCTTTGTCCCTGGGCCTTGAGGGGGTGGGTTGGGGAGCAGGGCTGCAGTGTGATAGGAAAAGGGTTGCTGGAGGTCTTGCAGCAGGAGCTGGGTGGGAGGGGATTCTGGCTCTCAAGGGATTCTGGCTCTCAAGGGACCCGGTCAGGCTGCTGCATGGTGTCTGGACGGGGTGGAGGAGGGATAAAGGCTGGAGGCTGGGCCAGTGAGGGGGTGCTTCAGGAGCCAGGTCAGGGCTTGAGGTGTTTTTGGGGAGACATGGGTCTCTAATTTCATTCCCCAAACAGGGTCCCCATACCCAGACTCCAGACCTATGAAGTGTCCCTGTCCCCAGACCCAAACCCCAGTCCTGAATGAAGTTCCTTTCCCCAGACCCCAGGCCTGAGTGGGGTCCCTAACCCAAGCCCCAGGCCTGAGTGGGGTCCATATCCCCCTGGCCCCAGTCCTGAGTGGGGTTCCTATTCCCAGACCCCAGGCCTGGGTGGGGTCTCTAACCCAAGACCCCAGGCCTGAGCAAGGTCCCTAATCCCAAACCCCAGCAGGCCTACAAGGGGTTCCTATCTCCAGACACCAGGCCTGAGTGGGGTCCCTAGCCCCAGACCTCAGGCCTAAGCAAGGTTCCTAACTCCAGACCCCAGGCCTGAGTGGGGTCCCCATCCCGAGGGCCATAGGCCTGCAAGGGGTTCCTAACCCCAGACCCCAGGCATGAGGTGTGGCTAGTCCTCCAAGATCCCCAGGCTGCAGGCCCAGGCCTGAGCTAGGCACAACTAGGGTCAGTGCCACTCTGGGTTTTGCTGCAGCAATCTGTCAGTGGGCAACCCTGGGCTGCTGTCTTCACAGTGGGTGCTGGGGCTGAGGCCTAGAGGGGGGCTGGGTGGGGTGCACCCAGGCAAGGTCCTGGCTAGTGTCAGGTGTGGAGCGGGGGCATCTGGCTCCTGCGTGGAGTGGGCCAGTGCTCTTCTGCTGCTGCAGCCCTGGGGCCCAGCACCTTGGGGGGGCTGCCCCTCCCCCTCTCCCTGGTGACAATGGCGGCAGAGGCCTAGCCTCTCTGAAGCTCAGGTTTCAGGAAATGTATCTGTGCTTAGAGCTCCTGGCGCCCGTACCAAGTGCTGCACTCCATCGGGGGGCTGGGTCTCTGCCAGGGATGCTGAGGGAAGGAGACCAGGTTGGAGCCTTGTTCATGGGGCAGTGGGCCCAGGAGGCTATGCTGACTTGGGCATGGGACACCCTGGGCTGTGGGGTGCCCTGGTCTGAGGGGCGCCCTGGGCATGGGGCACCCTGGACATGCGGCGCTCTGGGCATGGGGTATGGTACATCCGGTCCCGTGTCCGCCTTTTTCATGTCTTTTTGCTGCTGTTCCTCCTGTCTGGGGGCCAGAGGAGAGATTTGGATCTAACCGTGGGGGTCTGGGCTGGGGAGGCAGGCAGATGGTGAGGGGATGGAGTCAGGCTGGGATCTGACTGCGTGGTGGGGGTGGGTCAGGCCAGACTTGTGGGAAGAGGTGCGGCTGGGCCTTCCCGCTGGGTGGGCCTCTGGAGGCTGGGCAGGCAGCGGCCCAGCTAGGTTGGCCTGGGAGGAGGGACCGGGTTCCTCTTCCTGCTTGCTGGGGAACCTGGGCAGGTGGTGGGTCTCTGACCTGTTCCCAGCCCCTTTTGGCCCTGCTAGCTCCCTGGCCCCCAAGTCCCCACAGGCCCCTACGCCCATCCCTAGAAGGTCACAACACCCTCCCCCCCACAGCCCAGGCCACATTGTCCTTCCTGTTCTATAAAGGTTTGAGGTTGACAAAACCGTGTCCCAGACCACGGCCCACCAGGCAGGAGGGACACAGATGGGAGGCTGCTATTGGCAGAGGAGGAAACTGAGTCCTGGAAGCTGGGCCAGGGACAAGGCAGAGCCGGGAGGGCCAGCAGGTGGGCTGATGGTGCAGGTGCCGCCCCGCCCTGCTGGCTCAGGTTCTCCCTGGGTGACTTCCTGCCATCCAGGTGTAGGGAGCCCAGCTGGCGGGCGGTGGGGCCCTTGCAGGCGGGTGGGCGGGCGCATGTCCCCGCAGGAGCAGGTAACTGGAGCCACTCGGGTGAAGGCGGCAGTAATCCTACCTGAGTGGCTGGCGTGGGGTTTCCTGGGAGCCAGGAGGAGCTCCCTGTTGTCCCTGAAGCCCAGCTGTGGCCATGTCAGTAGACGGGAAGCCGGGCTGGGGCTCTCCTCTGCCTGCCCTGGGGCCAGAGCCCTTGGTAGTGGTGTCAGGCCCACCCTGGCCTTTGCCCTCCAGCCGCCAGAGCGGCTTTCAAAGCCCTGTTGGTCTCAGGTCTTACTCAGACCCCTAGCAGCGACCCATTTTGCTTAGCAACAGGGACAATGTCTGCCCAGTTTCTGGTCTCCATGACATGACCCACTCTGTCCCCATGTCCCATGCTTCCCAACCCTGTGGGCCTCCTCGCTGGCCCTTGTCACTTCTCTGGCCCTGGCCTGCCACTCTTGCTTGGAATGCGGCCTCTGGCTCTGCAGTCTCAATCCCAGCATTGCCTTCTCCAGGGCCTGGCCTGACCCCCAATTAGAACAGCACCTCTGTTCCCCGCTGACTTATCCATCCTCCTCTTTCCCCCAAGCTCTGCTGGAGCAGAGATTGTTGTCCCCTGTGGCAGAGCTGTGCCTGGTGCACGCTCAATGTGTGAATGAATGAATGAATGAGTGGATGAGTGAAGGGATAAACAGGTGAAGTCTGGGGAGGAGCTGGATCCTGCAGCTGTCACTAGGGGATGGGGTAGGACTTGGCCACGTGAAGGTGGCCCAGCAAAAGCCCTGAGGGTGGCATTCCAGATGGATGGGGTGGGCGTGCTGGGTGAATGGCTGGGAGGAGGGTGGGAGCTGCAGGGGCTCTGGGCACTGGGGAGGTGCAGGCAGAGATCTGGGCATCGTTTGGGCTCCTATGGACAGGAGTTTGGAGGCCCCAGTGGTTACAGGGAGCCCTTGGAGGACATGGGCAGCTGCTGGGTGGGTGGGAAAATGGGTTTAAGGGAGCCTTAAGGTGGGATTGAGAGGCCTGGTGACAGCCCCACAGGGCCAGGGAAGGCTCTAGAAAGGGCCAGGCAAGGGTGCCTGCTTCCAGTCTGTGTTCCCAGCTGGTATGGGCCCTTTGGGTCACCCCAGGGTGTCCAGGAGGCAAATGCTCAGTGAAGAGTCGTCAGTGTGGATGTGGCTGTGAGTAGAGCCCAAGGTGGGCAAGTATGTCATAGAACCCAGGGTGTCCGAGTTTCAGGGGCAGCCAGAGGCATGGGGTGGGGGACCAGGAGAGGGCCCTGAGGACAGGCTGGGTGTGCGGAGGCTGTGACTGTGGCTGGGTGTGGCAGGCGGACTGCTGGGTAGGGGAGTGGGCTGGGATATGGACTTTCCACCTTTTTGTTTTTTTAAAGGTGACCGGTAAGGGGATCTTAACCCTTGACTTGGTGTTGTCAGCACCACGCTCTCCCAAGTGAGCCACAGGCTGGCCCTTTGACTTTCCACCTTCTGAGGAGTCCTGAGAAGGCCTGTCCTGGGCTTGGGCGGGCATTGGGGAGTAGCGGCAGGGGTGCTGGCAGACGTGGGCTTGGGCATCAGTGGGAAGATTTAGGGGCCGTGGGGATGGCCTGGGGTGGGACCCTCAGCGGGGAGGTGTTGCTAGTTGTCCCCAGGCTGGACAGATGGGGGCACTGAGGGATGGGAGCAAGTCTGTCCTGCCCATGCCGTGTCCATTGGGGTGGGATACCAGCAGGCCTGTGACCCCAGAGGTAGCCCAAATGCAGCGATGACCTGCAGGCACCTGTCCAGATGGAGCCAGGGTGGACGCAGGCGTCATCAGCGTGTGTGGCTGCTCCCAGGATGGAGTCTAGCAGTGTGGGTGAAGTCATGGGGGTCCTGGACAGTGAGGTGCTAAAGGCTGTGGCTGCAGGGTGCCCTGTGCGGGGCAGTGAGGGGTGAGGCTACTCCCTGTAGCTCGGGTTAAGCTCTCACAGGTGCAGGCCTTGTGGTTGCTCGGGTGGTGGCTGTGGCCTGGGGCACAAGGGACAGAGTGTCCTTGGAGGGGTAGGGGAGTGGCGACCTCGGGCTGAGACTGTGTTGGGCGGTCCCAGAGCTTCTTGGGTCTCAGTTTCCTCATCCATACAGCAGGGGCCCCTCCTGTCCCTTTTCCTGTTCTGGGGGTGGAGGTGGGTTTGTGGGTTTTGCCTATTTTCTGTGTACCTGCTGTGTACTGGGGCAACAGCACCTGATCTTAGGGATGGGGCATGTCTTTCTAGGATGGGCTTGTGCCCACTTCGCTGCCAAGGTTGACCTCTTTCACTCTGTGCTGACTTGAGCCAGCTCAGGGCAGGCAGGCATGGACCTCTGGGGCCCAAGAGTGAAGGGCCCGAGCCCCCTGGGCCCACATGGTGGGAGGAGTGGTCCCCCTGGGAGGGGGGTCCCCAGCTGGGGAGGAGGAACCAGAGCCTGACAGGCCTGGGGCAGAGTGGGAGGCTTGTGGTCCTGCCCCACCCTGTGCAGCAGCAGCAGGCAGGTGGGGGCCTGAGGCACCTGACTGGTCCCCATGTCTGCAGCGCTCCTTTACCCTCATCGTGGAGGCCTGGGACTGGGACAACGACACTACCCCGGATGGTGAGTAAGCCCCTGGCCGGGTGGGCTAGGGAGGACCGCTGTCTGGAGGCTGGCCCCCTGGGCCACAGAGATGCGTGTGGCCAGGCTCCTGGTCCTCTGCCTGCTGGGAACAAATCCTTCCTCTATCCCAAGGATCTTGTGTGCAGTTTCCCTTATTACCCTGGCTGCCAGGAGGCTCTGCCATGTTTGTGACTTAGAGGCTGTGTGTGCACTGCCCTCCTGCCCAGTCCTGGCTTCGTCTATGTTGTTCTCCTGTCGGGAATGTTCTTTCAGGGCCCACGTCAATGACATAGTGGAGTGGGGCACCATTGAGTGGCTGTCTCTGGCTCTGTGGACCCTGCTCTGCCTGTCTGGTCTGTCCTGGAACATGGGTTCTGGGGTCCCTCTTCCCCAGGCTCACCTGCTAGCTGGCCGGCCTGTGAATAGGGGCCTGCAGGGCCCTGCAGCAGGAAGGCGAAGAGGATTTTCCATGGATGAAAGAGGAAGAACTTACAGGCAGAGGGAGCAGTTTGTGCAAAGGCCCTGGGGCAGGAGCAAGCTTGGTGTGTTTGAGGAGCAGCTCATGGGGGGAGTGATGTGGTCAGTGAGGCTGGGGTCAGATTGTGGAGGCTTTGTGGGCCACTGTGGGGACACTGGCTTTTTCCTGGAGGTGATTTCTCAGGCTGCCATGTGGAGGGTAGACTGTAGGGCTGGGATGGAGACCAGTGAGGAGACTGCTGTGTGAATCCAGGGGACAGCGGGGTGACACGGATGAGGGAACCTGAGGGGATGAGAGGGGCCCTGGCTGCTCTCCAAGGTGGAGGCTCGGGATTGGCTGAAGGGTAGACATGCGAGAGAGCCCATGGGTGGAGGGGCTGTTATGGGGTGGGGATGACAGTGGTGGAGCCAGTGGGGGGCGGGAGCGCAGTTTAGATGTGCTGTATCTGAGGTGCTTGTTAGGCATCCAAGGCTGTGTGGCATGGGAGGGCGGGGCCAAGTCAGGCTGAGCTCTGGGTCCTGCTGGTGTCAGTGCTGGGGAGGCGTGGAGGAGCCAGGCTGGGGGCAGCGGCTGGTGGGAGCCCGGGTGGCTTGGGACAGGGGTGTTCCTGGGAAAAGGGGGCAACGGGACGGGTAAGCCAAGGCCTGAGCAAGGCCATCAGAGACCTTAGCAAAGAAGGGCCAGGGGTGCAAGGCCCTGCTGGAGTGGGCCAGTGGAGGGGACCTGTCTCCCCAGGCCTTTGCTTAGCGCAGCAGGAGAAGAGGGTCTGGAGGATTTGTTAGCCTTTTATTGTGGAAAATTCTGCACAGGTACTAAAGTTTAGGGAATGGTGTCAAGGCCCGTTGTCTCCAGCTCAGGGAAACCCTCTGCCCCTCCACCGCCCACACCTTGTTTTAAAGTGAGGCCCAGCCTCTGGGTCATTGAATGCACGCGTGTCTTGGGGTGTGAAAGGAACTTGCTCTAGGATGGGGCAGTAGTGGTGTGTTTGGTGCTTCTGGGAGCAAGTCACGATGTAGGAGAGAGAGAGTGGAGGCTGGCTGAGTGACATCCCCATTTAGGTGAGGGCCGGACACGATGTCCAGTGGGGCAGGGCTCTGCCATGGAAGGGCAGTGGGTGGGCATGCGGAGCTCACGCCCTGCAGCCTCTGTGCCTTCTTTGCAGAGCTGTGGTTTCAGCAGCCAGCTGGGCCCCTCCCTCACCCCCTCTGCTTTTGGGGTGGGCAAGGGGCTGGCTCTTTGTGGCAGCCTGGCCAGTGTCCCTACTGTCCCCAGCTCTTCTGCCCACTGTCCCCCTGCCGGGCTGGGTTGGTTTCTCTGGCCTGTGCCGCACTCCCAGGGGGCTGGTGGCCGGGCTGACTCCACTGCCTCCCCAAGAGGAGCTGCTGATCGAGCGGGTGTCACATGCTGGCATGATCAACCCCGAGGACCGCTGGAAGAGCCTGCACTTCAGTGGCCACGTGGCGCACCTGGAGCTGCAGATCCGCGTGCGCTGTGACGAGAACTACTACAGTGCCACCTGCAACAAATTCTGCCGGCCCCGCAATGACTTCTTCGGCCACTACACCTGCGACCAATACGGCAACAAGGCCTGCATGGACGGCTGGATGGGCAAGGAGTGCAAAGAAGGTGGGGGCCGCGGGGCAGGGCTGTGAGGCAGGGCCTCGGGCCAGGGTGGCCTGGGCTGGCTGCAGCTCTCCTTCCTGCCGTTTGCAGCCGTGTGTAAACAAGGATGTAATTTGCTCCATGGGGGATGTGCCGTGCCTGGGGAGTGCAGGTGAGTACCGGGCGCCCGCCCCTTCTTAGCCCTCGCGCCCGACGCTGCAGACAGCTGCCGGCATAGGCCGCTCGGTGGCAGAAGCTGGCTGAGCACCTCCTGCAGCCAGGCACAGTGCCCGAGGCCAGGCGCACACTGGGAGGCGGGCCCTGCGCTTGGGAGGCTTAGTCAGTGTGGAGCAGGCATAGGTCCTGAGTGGGGGTGTCCCGTGGCGGTAGCCCCATGAGGACAGTGAGAAGTGACTGAGAGGGTGACTGGATGGGCACACTGCCAAGTGGCAGAGGCCTACAGCCGACAGCCACCCAAGGACAGGTCATTGGCAGAGGAGGAGCACATGCAGGGGACACCCTGGCACTCACTGCCCATGGGGGGATAGTGACGGCCAGTGAGCAAGCCTGGCAGAGCAGACGGGTTGGGGAGACGAGGCCTGTGGGACCCTGGGAGGGTGGAACTGGATGGTTTGGAGCTGGGCAGAGTGTGGTGGGAGAAGCTCGGCAGCTGCTGTGTGGGGAGGATCTGGGGTGGTGGCTGCTGCTGGGGTGTGGGGGGTAGAGGCAGGGTAGCGGGGAGTGGGGCGATGATCCAGCGGGAGTGGAGGGGGGTGTGTCCTGCAGACAGGCTAGGGTGGAGCCCAGGGATCTGTGAAAGTGTTTGGTATAGGGGTGAGAGGAAGAGTGTGGGGTCAGGAGGGCCCCCAATCCTCTAGCGTGAGCTCCTGAGCAGTGAGGCCGCTGGGATGGAGGGCATGGCTGCGGGAGGAGCAGGCAGGGGTGGAAGAAAGTGGACGAGTTGGAGGGTAATGCCTGCCCTGCCCCTAGAGGCACTGAGAAAGCAGAAGGAGGGGGTTATGGGAAATGCCTGGCCTGAGACACGCAGGGGCATCTGTGGCATATGGGTCTGTTAAAGCCCAGGGGCTGGAGGAAGATGGAGAGGAGAGGCCAAGCAGTCCTGGCCTCCAGTAGGTAAAGGTGCACAGAGGCCACCAGGCTGGCAGAGGCCTCCACGAGGGGGTGTTGGGGGTCCCGCAGCTGAGTGCACACAGCCGAGGCCACTGGAGCTTGACCATGACGTTGAGGGGATGGTGGGGATTAGGCCAGATTGGGGTGGGGTCAGGAGGGATGGGTGGGCAGCTTTGCCATATGGTGGGCAGAGAAGGGGGCAGCTAGAGGGGCAGGGACTGAGGACTTGGAGTGGGCGAGGGGCTTCGAGCTGGGTAGTCATAGAGTGTGTAAGCAGGGGTGGGCGCCGTGGGAAGCATGGAGGAGGCCCTGGGAGAAGGAGGTTGGGAAGTGGTGGGAACTCTCAGTGGCGAGCCCTTGGGAAGGGTGTCAGGCTGGTGGGGGTGCAAGCCAGTGGGGGCATGTGAAGCCCCTCCACGCCAGTCTCCGATCTCCTTCCGTATGTGTTTTTCAGGCAAGGACACTGAGGCATGATAAAGTTGAGTAACTTCCACAAGGTCACACAGCATGGAGTCTTGGGGTGGAGGGGCAGGGTTTGGGACCCGGCTAGCATGGGAGCCAGGGTGCGGATGGGGTGTGGGGCATGATCCTTCGTCTGGCACTGTGGTTGCATCGATCCAGGAGGTGGTGTGAGGAGCAGCCCTGGCCAGTCCCAGGGCAAGCAGGCAGGGCAGGGCAGGGACCTGGGGGCTCACCTGCCAGGTCGCTTGCACACGCTGGGATCTCAGACAAGTCGAGCGAGTCTCCAGGCAGTGCGGGGAGCGTGGCGGGGGTGTTGCAGGTGGCGTCTTGCAAGGGGCACCCCCAGGAACTATAGCCTGGGTGGGTGTGGGACACGGAAGGGCCTTGATCCTTCAGAGCTGGTGCTCTGCCCAGGGCATGGCCTCTCCAGCAGCCCTGCCCTTTGACCTGTGTGAGGGGTGTGAGAGTGGGGATTCTGGGCAGACACCGGTCCACGGAGAGAGCTCAGGGTCCGGGTCTCAGCCTGCACTTCCTCTGGCCCTGTGTGTAGTGCACAACCTTGACAGCTGTACCAGTAGCCCTGTGACTAGTGGCTGGGCAACCTGAATGTCCCCACTGAGGCTAGAGAAAGGTGGAAGAGAAGTCGCCCCCCCAGCCCTACCCCCACTGGTGGGGGTAGTGTGGGAAGATGAGGGGCAGTAATCCCGGGATGGAGGCCTGATGGGGTGGTAGGTGAGCCCCACCCACCCCTTCCCTGGCGCTGTGGGCGAGGCCCAGCTCAGGGCTCAGGTTTCAGTGCAGCTCAGGGCTCAGGTTTCAGTCAGGACCCCCCCACTCCGGATGCTGCGGAGATGGCCGTGTCTTCCTGCTGCCGCCTCTCCAGGCCCCAGAGCTGCTGGCTGGAGAAGCCAGAGAGGTGGGGGCCTGGCGTGGGCTGCCCCACCCAGGGCCAAGATCACGCCCTTGGGATCCCAGCCTGGCTGTGGCGTTCCCTGGCGAGTGACCCAAGGCACGTCAGAGCCCTGCCCTGAGCCTTGGTCTCCCCATGTCACCTGGGGGAAGGATTCCAGGTGGGGATGTGAGGCCCATGATTGTGCACCTGCCGGGCACATACTGGGCTGGATACGGAACTGCCTTCTCCCCGGCCTCAGTTTCCCTGTTATCATGACTGGGTGAGCTGGGCCAGTATCCCTTTGGTCCCGGCTGCGTGGCTTGAGGGAGGCTCCGGAAGGGCCGTGGCTCTTTCCTTTTACAAAAATAAATTCATATGGCGGGTGCTGGCGTGGAAGTGACGTGGCCTGCACGTCGTTCCCATCCTGCAGGACCTGAGAGTTGTAGGAAGGGGGCCCCCGGGAGTCCCATCCAGGGCCTGGAGGGCAGCCCACTGGGCCTGGGGTGTCCACCAAGCACACCAGGCTCTCCCCCCGACAGAATTGTGCCTGAAGTAGGCCAAGCTCTGCCCCCGCCACCTGCCCACTTCCTGAAGGACTCCCCAGAGGAGATGCTGGCGACCGTGGGGGACAGAGCTAACCCTTCGGGTCATGGCCTCGGAGACAAGAGGCCTCTTGAGGTCATTTTCCAGGGTGCGGCTAGAGTTCCTCCCAGGTCAGGAACTGTCCTGAGTCTGGCCTCGAGCAGGGCTGGCCCAGGGCAGCCGGTGGGCCTCTGTGTCCCCATCTGTGGGTGGGCACTTGTGGGGCTTTGCTGGCAGAGAGGAGTTATTGCCCTTGAGTTGCAGGTGAGGTCATCCGCAGTGCCCAAGGTCACGTGGCTGGGGCGGGACCCAGAACCCTCTCCTGTTGTCCCACTGGCCTACCCAGGCCCTCGTGCTGCCCAGCCCTGGCAGCACCTGGCCAGTCTGGGCCGGCACTCTCTTCCCTGGGGTCCCGGCAGGGCCTTCCTTTCCTGGCGCCTGCTCTCGGGGCCCAGCTCAGGGGTGAGTCCCAAAATAGCTCAGAGAGGAGTGACGGGACAGCTGGGGCCACCCGTCCCCAGCCAGTGGCTGGGAGTGCCCATGACAGTGGGGCTGGCCGGCGGGGCTTCCACCACTGCCTGGATCAGGGCCACTGCAGTTCAAAGGCCTGAGGCCGCCGGCCCTGGGGGTGGCCCACGTGACTCACTTGCCTCCCCAGCCACCATCTCAGCTGCCACAGCTCACTGGGCTCCATGTCCCTTGGCCTTCCAGGTGCAGCTATGGCTGGCAGGGGAGGTTCTGTGACGAGTGTGTCCCTTACCCTGGCTGTGTGCACGGCAGCTGTGTGGAGCCCTGGCAGTGCAACTGCGAGACCAACTGGGGTGGCCTGCTCTGTGACAAAGGTACCCGTGGGCAGCGGGGCGGAGGCCGGGTCTACAGCTCAGCCACTGAAGGGCGGGTGGGGGGCAGGGGGTGGGGTCTGTCCCCTAAGCACCCTGCCTCTGCCCCCAGACCTGAACTACTGTGGCAGCCACCACCCCTGCACCAATGGGGGCACGTGCATCAACGCCGAGCCGGACCAGTACCACTGCGCCTGCCCGGAGGGCTACTCGGGCAAGAACTGTGAGCGAGGTATGTTGGGGGCCTGTCACTGTGTTCTGGCAAGGCATGGCAGCATGGCACTGGCTCCCTGGGGAGCCTGGTCAGGCCCCATCTCTCTGGCCTCCTTGTGCAGTGGGAACTCCCACTCCTGGTCTTAGGCCTTGTAGGCTTGGGGAGGAGCACTTGTGGGAAGGGGGCACCTGGCTGCCATACCCGCCCACCCCCGACTGTTTCTGCAGCTGAGCATGCCTGTGCCTCCAACCCGTGTGCCAATGGGGGCTCCTGCCACGAGGTACCATCTGGCTTTGAGTGTCACTGCCCATCGGGCTGGAGTGGGCCCACCTGTGCACTTGGTGAGTGCCATGCATGTGTTTAGGGGGCTCCAGGCATCTGAAGGGGTTTGGGAGCTGGGGCAACATATTGGGGATACAGGTGGAGTGGTTGAGTCCACATATGTGGCCATAGACATTGAGGCCAGGGGACAAGTGGCTGGAAGACCCAGGTATGCAGTCCCACCTCCCCAAGTGGGACCTTGCCTCCCCACACAGACAATAGTCCCACGCCTCTTACTCCGTCCTCCGCAGACATTGACGAGTGTGCCTCGAACCCATGTGCTGCAGGCGGCACCTGTGTGGACCAGGTGGATGGCTTCGAGTGCATCTGCCCTGAGCAATGGGTGGGGGCCACCTGCCAGCTGGGTAAGGGCTCCACCAGCACCTGTGTGCATGGACTATGTGCTGTGCATGTGGCGGCTGCTGGTGCTGCTGGAACTGTGGGCGCCTGGCACAGGGTGCAGTGGGCAGGTGGGGCCCGAGCCCCACAGCTCCCCTTGTCTCGTTCACAGACGCCAATGAGTGTGACGGGAAGCCATGCCTTAATGCTTTTTCTTGCAAAAACCTGATTGGCGGCTATTACTGTGATTGCATCCCGGGCTGGAAGGGCATCAACTGCCACATCAGTCAGTACGGGTGGGTGGGCACAGGAGGGCAGGGCTGGGTGAGCTCAGAGGGCCCCTGCTCTGACCCCGCTCCTCTGCCCTCAGACATCAATGACTGTCGTGGGCAGTGTCAGCACGGGGGCACCTGCAAGGTAAGGTGGAGCCGGCCACCCTGCCTCCGTGTGGGCCATGGGGCTGGAGGGGCCTGCTGGGGGTGGCTGGCGAGGCTCACCCTGCCCGACCCTGCCCCACCCCAGGATCTAGTGAACGGGTACCAGTGTGTGTGCCCGCGGGGCTTCGGAGGCCGGCACTGCGAGTTGGAGCGGGACGAGTGTGCCAGCCGCCCCTGCCGTGGTGGCGGTCGTTGTGAGGACCTGGTCGACGGCTTCCGCTGCCACTGCCCCAAGGGCCTCTCCGGGCTGCTCTGCGAGGTGAGGCTTGTGGGCTTGGCTGCCTGCTCTACCCGCTGCTCTGGGGGCTGCACGGAGCAGGCCATCATCCCTGGACATGGCCAGGCCTGAGTGACCAGGAAGGCTGTGGTGGGGGTTGTCCCCACAGCATCCCTATGCTGTTCTGGACCTAGTGAGACCCAGGCCCCAGAGTCCTGGGTGTGGGGCTGGGGGTTCACAGGGTCACTGAGCTCAGGCTCCTCTGGTCCGTTTGTCACGATGAGCCCCTGCCTGTGGGGTAGGCCAGGAACCCTGCAGGTTGCTGGCTGCACAGATGCCCCATCTGTCCATTCCCTTGGGGACTGGAGGGCAAAGGGCTTTGATGGGGCAGAGAGCATGGGTGGGGCAGATATCTGATGGGCTGAGGGCATCCACCTGTCGTGGGAGGGTCCTAGGAAGGAGTGGGTGTCATTCCCTGTGGCTGAGGCCACACTTCCCTCCGACCCCATCTGATGGTGCCTGGCCTGCCCTCTCCTGACCCTGCCTCCACTGAACCTGCCTCCCTCCGTCCCCACCTCCCTCTGTCCCACCTCCCTCTGAGCCCGGCCTTTGTACAAAGGGTGGGCCTCCTGCCCAGTGGGCTTCTTGGGGCCCATGGCAGGAGTCTGGCCCCAGGTCCAGGGACCATGGTGTGGTGGCTGGCTGTGGGAGGGACTCACAGTCTTGGCTCTGAGGGCGGCCTGGCAGTGTGGGGGCTCAGGAGCTGGCCTTCCTGCCAGCAGGAGGGGCCAAGGCCGGATGCTGCCTGCGGGAGGCAGAGGAAACTCGGCTGCTGTGGAGGCGGGGCAGCGGGAGGGGGCCTGGTGGCCCACAGGTGTTTCCGCCCAGCTGACGAGGCCGGGTGGGTCTCGGGTAGGTGGGGTCATCAAGCTCCAGCTGGCACTGCGCGGCCCACGGCTGAGGGCCTGGGTGCCCAGGCTGCATAGGGCCCAGCCTCGGGCATTCCCAGGGATCTGCCGACGTGTGTCCCCAGTCTGGGCCTGGCTTCTCATGGATGTTGCCCCCTGCCCTGCAGGTGGATGTGGACTTCTGCGAGCCAAATCCCTGCCAGAATGGTGCTCGCTGCTACAACCTGGAGGGTGACTATTACTGCGCCTGCCCTGATGACTTTGGTGGCAAGAACTGCTCTGTGCCCCGGGAGCCGTGCCCTGGCGGCACCTGCAGAGGTGTGGTGTTCGGCAGGTGGGTGGGAGCCAGGGGGCCTGGGTGAGGGCAGTCCTGACCCCCATCCGCCCATCTGTCACAGTGATCGATGGCTGTGGGTTGGAGGCAGGGCCCAGGGTGCCCGGCGCGATGCCTTTCGGTGTGTGTGGCCCCCATGGGCACTGTGTCAGCCAGCCTGGGGGCAACTTCTCCTGTGTCTGTGACAGCGGATTCACTGGCACCTACTGCCATGAGAGTGAGTGGCTGTGGACCGTGGGCCGGGCCGGGGGCTGGGCTGGCATTGGGGATCCCAGCTCACCTGCCTTCCTCCCCACAGACATCGACGACTGCCTGGGCCAGCCCTGCCGCAATGGGGGCACGTGCATCGACGGGGTAGACGCCTTCCGCTGCTTCTGCCCCAGCGGCTGGGAGGGCGAGCTCTGCGACACCAGTGAGTGGGCAGGCGCCTGCCGCCCCCGTGTGCCCCTGACCCCTCTGAGGTGGGTCACTGGCTCCGCCCGGCAGGCCCAGAAACGTTTGGCCGGATCGTGCTGCCACCGCAGACCTGTGCTTGGGGCCTGGCTCCCTCTGCCCCCCTCTGTCTCCCCCTGGCCCAGCTCCCATGCGTTCTCTCCCAGAAAGCCCTCCCTGAGCGCCGGTGACCCCCCCGCTGACCGGCGTCCTCACCCCCAGATCCCAACGACTGCCTTCCCGATCCCTGCCACAGCCGCGGCCGCTGCTACGACCTGGTCAATGACTTCTACTGTGCATGCGATGATGGCTGGAAGGGCAAGACCTGCCACTCGCGTGAGTGCCCACAGGCCCCGGCCACGGGGGCTGCCCCTGCCCCACCCGCCCCCACCCCTGCACCTGCCCTGACCCCTGACCCCTGCCTCTGCCGGTCTGGGGCCTACCTGCTGAGCAGCCTGTGTGCCTGCAGGTGAGTTCCAGTGTGATGCCTACACCTGCAGCAATGGTGGCACGTGCTATGACAGCGGGGACACCTTCCGCTGTGCTTGCCCCCCAGGCTGGAAGGGCAGCACCTGCACCATCGGTGAGGAGCCCCAGTGCCCCTGCTCCCCCAGGATGGCCCCGCCCCAGCAGCTGCTCCCTTGGGCATGCTGGGCCGAGGAGTCTTTTTCAGAGGGTCACGCCGGGCCCCTGCTCTGGGGTCTGTCTGCTCTGTGTGGGTTGGGGGTGTGGCGTGGAGAGCCCTGGGCCTGCCCAGGGCCAGATAAGGAGCCGCCCTTCCTCCTCTCCTCCTCGCAGCCAAGAACAGCAGCTGCCTGCCCAACCCCTGCATGAACGGGGGAACCTGCGTGGGCAGCGGAGACTCCTTTTCCTGCATCTGCCGGGATGGCTGGGAGGGCCGCACCTGCACGCACAGTGAGCTGGGGAGGGCTCGGCCGGGGGGTGGTGGTTGTAGGATGGGGTGGCAATTGGGTGGTGGGAGGCCTGGGGGGTGGGCCCACTTCTCTCCACCTGGCCTACAACCCCAGCCCCAACTCTGCCCCAGGGACCTGCTCCTTCCATCCGAGTCCGTGTGAATCCCCCAAGACCTGCCTCTGCTTCCTGCAGGGCTGTGCCCTTCCCCCGTCTCCACTGAACTACTGCCAACCACCGCCATGCAGCCAGGCCCCTGCTGAGATGCGGTCCCCACCCCCATATCCTCTAGGGTCCACGCCCTCCTCAGGGACCCTGCCCAGTCTCCCCAAATCCTGACCCTCCCCATCCCCATCGCCTGGTCGTGCCAGGCTGGTGTGGACAGCGCAGTGTCTGCCTGTCCCCCAAGTCTGGGGCATGCAGGCCTGGTGCGGAGGGTGCCGGGCAGGTGGATGCTGTGCTGACCTCTCTCCTCTCTCAAATCCAGACACCAATGACTGCAACCCTCTGCCTTGGTGAGTGGCAGTCCTGAGGCTGGCGGTGGGTAGGGCTGGGCCTGCTGGGTGGTGTGGGGGGTAGGGGGGGAGCGGCGGTCTGCCTGATGTCCACCCTCTCCCCTGCAGCTACAATGGTGGCATCTGCGTTGATGGTGTCAACTGGTTCCGCTGTGAGTGTGCGCCTGGCTTCGCAGGTCCTGACTGCCGCATCAGTGAGTGGCCTGGGATGGCTGGGGGGACTGGTGGGGGACGGTGGGCCGCAGCCCTGGGAGCCCCTCCAGCCCAGCCCAGGTGTCAGGAGTTGGGGGACATTAATGTTCACAACCCCTGAAGGACAGTGTGGCCACAGCCACTTTCTGCCTCTCTTGATCCTCAGTTTCCCCACATGTCTGTGCCCTGCCAGGTTCCTGGGGAGTACCCTGCCAAGTGATGAAGTGGGGGTCCTGCTCTGGGGGTCCAGCCTGGAGCCATGGGAGAGAGGAGGATGGGGGCCATCGGGGCCGGAATGTGCAGCCTGACCTGGGCTCTTCTGTGGCCGCAGGGCTGTTGTCCACGGTGTTGGCCTGGACCGCCCATTCAGCCAGCAGCACAAGCTCCCTGTGGCTCACCCTGACCCCATCAGCTGGGGGCTGCCCGTGAAGGGATAGACCCCAGGGGCCCCTGCCCATCCGTGTTGCATAGGCAGATAGGTGTGTGACTAGGAAGTCTTGGGCTGGGTGACAGTGACAGGTCGTGCCCCATGCCACGCCCTGGGGCCTGTGTGGGGGTGTGGCCTGCTCCCCACTGCTGAGCCCTGGCCACTTTCCCTGCAGACATTGATGAGTGCCAGTCCTCGCCCTGCGCCTACGGGTCCACGTGTGTGGACGAGATCAATGGATATCGCTGTATCTGCCCACCAGGCCGAGCCGGCCCACGGTGCCAGGAAGGTAGGCAGGGCAGGACCGCACCGGGTGGTGGCTGTGCTGGGTGGGGCCCAAGGTGACCTGGCCTCCGGGGCTTGGCCTCCCGTTGCTGAGCCTTGGTCTCCTTCTCCCTGCAGTGATCGGGTTCGGGAGGTCCTGCTGGTCCCAGGGCACACCGTTCCCACACGGGAGCTCCTGGGTGGAAGATTGCAACAGCTGCCACTGCCTGGATGGCCGCCGGGACTGCAGCAAGGTGCGCGACCCCACCCGGCAGCCTCCCTGTCCTGCTCTGCCCTGTGCGGCCAAGTCTGAGGTCATGCTGAGCCTGAGTCCTGACCCTCAGTCTGTGAGATCCAGAAGCTGGTGCTGAGGTGGGGTGGGCCAGGAGCCATGTCTGCCTACCTCTGCGGGACATTCTGGGAGGAGGCGACAAATGTGAGGGGCTTTGGGCACAACAGGCCCCCCCCCATTTGTTGTACACTTGGGGAAAGTGAGGTCCAGCAGGGTCCTGCCTATCTCCTCCTGCTCTGGTGGAGAGTCTTGTCTGGCGAGGAGCTCAGCCCACCCCTGGGAGCCCTGGGTGGCGGGGGACGGGGCAGGGCCCTGGGATGTGCTGACCCCAATGGCATGTCTGTGACTCCCCTGCGTGGTGCCTGCGCCTGTTTGTGGGTCCTGGTCCATGTGTGCCCATGTCTGCCTCCTGTGCGTATCTGCCCCAGGTGTGGTGCGGGCGGAAGCCATGTCTGCTGACTGGCCAGCCTGAGGCCCTGAGTGCCCAGTGCCCGCCGGGGCAACAGTGCCTGGAGAAGGCCCCCAGCCAGTGTCTGCAGCCACCCTGTGCAGCCTGGGGGGAGTGTGGTACCGAGGAGCCCGTGCCACCTGGCACCCCCTGCCTGCCACGCTCCAGCCACCTGGACAACAACTGCGCTCGCCTCACATTGCGCTTCAACCGTGACCAAGTGCCCCAGGTAAGGGGTCCTGGCCGCGCCCACGCATCTGCGGGGCCCAGATGCCGCCATCTGTTCCTGGAGGGGCCACTCTGGCTGTGGCTTGGCCCCGTGGGGTTGATGAGAGGGAGTGTTGAGCCTGGTAGCGCAGGCGAGGCTGGGGTGCCCAGTTGTGCAGCCATCCCGGGGGCATGGACTGAAGGTGGCTGCGGGCTGCCCGCTCTGGGTCTGGGCCTGCAGCTCTGTGTGCAGTTTTGTTCTGGCCGAGGTTCCATTCGTATCATCTGGGCACTTAGAACTGACATGCCCCTGACCCCTAGGAGCAAGGAGGCTCGGACTTAGGCAAGGGCTGCCCTGTCCTCCCTCCGGCCTGCAGGTGAAGCTGCTTCACCATGAGGATGGGCGGGGTGGGGACTGGCACCTCCGTGCCCCACCCAGCCCTGACCCAACTCCCCAGTGGGCACCAGTGTCTCTGCTTTGTAACCCTCCGTGGGCTGAGGCGTGTCCTGCCACCTGCCCTCAGTGCTGGCTGAGGGGGCAGTGGCCCTCAGGCCCCACTCATATGCTCCCGTCTCTGCCCAGGGCACCACCGTGGACGCCATCTGCTCCGGGATCCGCTCCCTGCCGGCCACGAGGGCAGTGGCCCGGGACCGGCTGCTTGTGCTGCTCTGTGATCGGTCCTCCTCAGCGGCCAGTGCCGTGGAGGTGGCCATGGTGAGTGCCCGGCAGGGCGGGGTAGGGAGCCGCACCCTGGGGTAACCCCCCCAGGGTACCCTCCTGCACAGGCTCCCGGCAGTGCTGGGGGCAGAGGGCCCAGGTCAGGCTTGTGCCAGGTGTTCAGGGTGACCTGCCGACACAGGACTGTCTCCGTGGTGCAGCTGTGCAGGATAGGGCTGTGGGACCTCCCGTACCATGCTGGAGGCCCGTGGATCCAAGGCAGGCTTGAGGAGAGGAGGCGTCGGCCGGGCAAGGTTGGGAGGGTGTAGCAGTCGGAGCCAAGGCCGGGGGCTGGACACGCAGGTATCCACCCAGCAGGTGACTGCAGCTCAGCAGGGCCAGCCAAGAAGGCCAAGTCTACCACTGGCCAGCACTGAGGCCATCTCCGGGGACAGCAGGGAGGGCAGAGGTGGGACAGGGAGGTCCAGGGAGCAGCCTTATGGTCGTCGGCAACCTGTGGGGTCAGCATCTTGAGGGACAGGGAGCAGAAGTGTGAGGTGGGGCCACCAATCTTGTCTTCTGATGTGAGGGAAGGGTTCAGAGCAGGGCAGCAGATCCCAGGAGAAGGGGTGCACGGGAAGCTTGTCTGTGGGACAGGTGGTGGGCAGTGGCCCGCAAGGAGTGGAGGGAGGAAGGGGTTGGGTGGGGACACCGATGTCTGGGCAGAGCCCATGGGGACGAGGCAATGGGCAGCAGGTGACAGGTCAGGTTCCAGATGCAGCATGGGCAGTGACAGCTGGGACCCCTGGCTCAGCCGTGGTACAAGCCCCTTCCTGTGTCCGGTGTCTGAAGCATGAAGGTCAGGGCTCTGAGCGGGGTCCCTGGGGGTGTGGGAGACCCCCAGTGACAGCAGGAGTTGGGGTGTGGAGGCAGTAGTGGAGAGGGTGGGAGAGGGATGGGGGCCGTGGGTGGACAGCGATGGCATGTCATTGGAGGGTCCCTCGAGGGCAGGGGCAAGCAAGGGAGCTCTGACTATGTGCAGAGCAGCCATGTATCATGGCGGGAGGGGAGGCGGTGGCCGAGTGCAGGAGGGACAGTATTGGAGCCCCGAGGCCACCGGAGTGGGGTCAGGGTGGCACTGACATTTGGCAATGAAGGGGCAGTGGCGGGGACAGTGGGAAGAGGTGAGGAGCATGAAGGATAGGCTGTGTGGGGCGGGGGCTGGGGGATGACCAAGAAAGGACAGCCATCCCTGAGCAGGACTTGGGGGAGGGCAATGGAAAGGACAGGGCCAGGCCACACCCACCTCCCCTTGAACTGCTCGGTGGAGTGTCCCCACCACAGGACCCCATCCAACAAGCCTCCCGAGAAGCCCTCCCAAGGCCACGCTCCAGTGCAGCCCTGGCTGTGTGCCTGGGGGTCCAGGCCGTGGCCGCAGCCTGGGCGTGGGGGCGGGGCTGGGGCTGACTCCCAGGCTGCGGGCAGGGGCCCCTCAGGGCCAGTCCCTCAGCCAGTTTTCTGCCACAGTCCTTTAGCCCTGCACGGGACCTGCCTGACAGCAGCCTGATCCAGAGTGCGGCCCATGCCATCGTGGCTGCCATCACCCAGCGGGGCAACGGCTCACTGCTGCTGGCCGTCACTGAGGTCAAGGTGGAGACAGTCGTCGTGGGTGGCTCCTCCACAGGTGAGCGGGGAAAGCTTGGGGCTCCTTAGACACGCGGGGCTGGTGGGAGCCTGCTAGACAGACACGGCTCAGGGGTGCAGCCAGGCCAAGTGAGGGGACCCCGGCACCTGCTGCCCCCAGCCCCCATGAGCGCCCTGCCCAGCCCCTATCCTGGGACCCTCCCCAAGAGTCAGGAGCCAGAGGAGCCACCCTTGGCCTCCTGGCTGGCATGGGCCTCCTGGACTGGTGTGTGGCCGGCGCCCCGAGGCCCCCCGGTCTCCTGACGCCGCTTCCCGCCAGGCCTGCTGGTGCCCGTGCTGTGCGGCGCGTTCAGCGTGCTGTGGCTGGCGTGCGTGGCCGTGTGCGCCTGGTGGACCCGCAAGCGCAGGAAAGAGCGGGAGCGGAGCCGGCTGCCGCGGGACGAGAGCGCCAACAACCAGTGGGCGCCGCTCAACCCCATCCACAACCCCATCGAGCGGCCTGGCGGCCCGGGGGGTGGCGGGGGCCACAAGGACATGCTGTACCCGTGCAAGAACTTCACGCCACCGCCGCGCAGGGCGGACGAGGTGCTGCCCGGGCCGGCGGCTCCCATGGGCGCTGGGGAGCATGAGGACGACGAGGCGCTGGGCCGCGGGGAGGAGGACCCTCCGGAAGCTGAGAAGTTCCTCTCACACAAGGTCACCAAAGAGCCCTGCTGCTCGCCGGGGAGGCCAGCCCGCTGGGCCTCGGGCCCCAAAGTGGACAACCGCGCGGTCAGGAGCGTCAATGACGCACGCTTCGTGGGCAAGGACTAGGGCGGCCGCTGCCAGCTGGGACCCGGGACCCTCGCCCGCGCCGCGCCACCTGCGGGACCATGGGAGGCCGAGGCCGTGTGCATAGTTTCTTTATTTTGTGTAAAAAAACACCAAAACCAAAAAACAAATGTTTATTTTCTACGTTTCTTTAACCTTGTATAAATTATTCAGTGACTGTCGGGCGGGAAACAGTGGAGTATTCTCAGATAGTTGCTATTTTTGTAAAGTTTCGGTGCGTTGCACTCGCCGTGTGGCAGGAGAGAGCTAAGGGTGTCTGTGCGCTCACCGAATCGTGTAACGTTTGCTACCAGAGGTTGTGCACTGTTTACAGAATCTTCCTCTCTATTCCTCACTTGGGTTTCTCTGTGGCTCCAGGCCAAAGAGCCGGTGAGACCCATGGCTCTCAATGGGACCCATGGCTGTCAGTGGGACCTGTGGCCATCAGTGTGGCCTGTGGCTGTTGGTGGGACCTGTGGCTGTCAGTGCGGTCTGTGGCTGACGGGGTGGCCTGTGGCTGTTGGTGGGACCTGTGGTGGTTGGCATGACCCTGGTTATTGGTGTGGCCCTGGTCGCTGGCATGGCCCATGGCTACTAGTGGCATCTGCGATTGTCAGAGGCTAGAGGTCACAGGCATGGCCCGAGGCCGGCGCATGGGCGAGGGCCTGCCCCTCCAGCCTGCCGTCCTTCCCTGCTCAGAACACTCACTGCAGAGATCTCTCAACTGTGCTTTCAGAAGTGCCCTTCCCAACTGCTCTGTCCCCCTTCTGGGGCAGTGGCAGTATTGAAGCTTGTGACAAGTGCCTTCACACACTCTCCCCTCGCAGCTGTCAACGTTTGCTGTGGGCACTCGGTCACTGCCCACCTGCCGGCTCTGGCGTCCCCTCTCGTGAAAGTGCATTCTTGTAAATATGTACATATTAAATGAATCACTCTGTATATTTGATTTAATAACTTAAATGTTTTGGCTTCCCTGTTCTTGGGATGTTGTTCCTTATTTGGAGTCGGGGCAGGGGCGGGACTGTGCTAGCAGATAGAGATGCGGACGAGGGTGGGTGTGGGCTGGTGTCAGGCCGTGGGCCATGAGGAGTGACGTCCTGCTGACCCCAGGGCCTCCCAGGACCCCCGTGAGTGCATTGGTACCCTGTGGTGGTGGATGTGGGCCTGGTGGAAACCTTCCTGGAAATGGGGGTGAGGACAGTCTTGGTGCTTTGCATCTGACCCCTACTAAAACCAGCTTTTAAAAAAGCTTTATAAAATAGTTTTAAATCGCTTAGCAACGAACAGCTAGCAAGATTTGAAGGAGTTACCAGGTCACAGTTTGAAAGAATGAAAACAGAAGTAAGCAGCCTTTTGAAGTGGCTGATCGAGTCAACTGGAGCCTCGCCTGGTGGCCACAGGGCCACCCAACAGGACAGACACAGCACTGTCAGTGGATGAGCCGCTCACTCCCTGTGAGGGGGCAGGGGGTCGACTCAGCTGAGGAGCAGAGCCAGGAGCCAAATGTGTAAGAAAATGGAGAAAGAAAACCTGCTGCCAGCCCTGGGGGGAGGTCAGCTGACCTGCTGGTGGCTGCAGAGATCACTCTGGACACCTGGCCCTGAGCCATTTCTGCAGTGGCTTCTCTGGAAAGCTGATCTCCAGAACGCCTGCCCTGTGACCCCATCAACTCCCCCGTGTGGCAAGGCCAGGTCTGCAGGGACGTGGGAGCTGGTAGGAGATCCACTCACAGTTGGCTGGACCTGAAGACTTGTGCCCTTAAGTTGGAATGAGGGGTCAAGCCCTCCTCCTACCTTGTCCCTGAGGGGGTACATCAGGCATCGCAGAGGGAAAGCCTGCCCCTGGGAGTTGTGGTTGACTTGTCCTGACTTGTGTGGATGTGAGACCCATGTTCTCACCACCAGGATGGCCAGAATGACCCCAAGCTTCCAGTTTCCTTTTGAATGGTGCTTACCTAATGGGTGGTCCCCGAGGCTCCTGGTAGAAACAGATGTAAATTGCCCTGTCCTAGGCCTCTGCCTGCCTCATACACGTTTTTTCAGGCCAATGAGCCAACCACAGTCAAAAGAGCCAAGCACAGGGGACCCTGGCACTGTGATCAGGAGCCACGACAGCAGACCTGTGGAGTATCAGGTGTATGTCCTGGGATCCTCAGACATGGGTTACAGAACAAGTCTGCTCAGCTGCTCAGAGAACCAGGCCTGGAAAAACCGACAGGCCTAACAGATGGCACTGTGATCAGGAGCCACGACAGCAGACCTGTGGAGTATCAGGTGTGTGTCCTGGGATCCTCAGACATGGGTTGCAGAACAAGTCTGCTCAGCTGCTCAGAGAACCAGGCCTGGAAAAACCGACAGGCCTAACAGAAACGTTAAGATAATAACTTAGCAGATTTGAAAAAGAACCAAGTAGAACTTTTGGAAGTGAAAAAATACAACTTCCAAAGTGAAAACTCAGGAGCTACTTAGCAGCCATTCTTGGACACTGCCAAAGAGAGAATCGGTGCACTAGAAGACAGGTCAGAGAAATGATCCCAAACACAGCCCAGAGAGACGACGGTAAAAAATCCAGCAGCAACCAAGTGAGGGAACTGGATGGAGGGCCTGCTGATAGATGCTCTGAAGCCCACCAGAGCCCACACAGGCCCAGGGTGACAGAGTGAGCAGGTGTAAGCAGGTGCAGCAGGCAGGGCTGGGGTGTGCTTCGGCAGGAAGCATACTTTAGTCTGGCACCTGCCTGGGAAGCCCCTCTAACCTCCAGGGGGCTGCTCTTGTTCGGGGTCTCTGGGGTTCATGGGACACAGCCAGCCTCTGTGGCTGCTTAGGGATGAGGCAGCTGTTGGGGGCAGGAGGGGGTGGCACCCACAGGGGCATATGTGTGCTGAGTATGCATGGGTAGAGCTGGGGACCACCACGGTCACCCATGTGTGCATACATGCATGTGCAGGCCTGCCCCTTGCCCGGAGCCCACCACCCCATGCTCCACTCAGGCCTGGCCTGCTCAGCAGCTGCAAGCACCTGCCCAGGTGACTTGGTGCCCGGCAGGGGTGGGGCAGGGCCGTTCATGTGCCTTTCCAGGCCTGGCGGTCACCTCCGTCCTAGCCAGCTCATGTTGAGGCCACATGGCAGAGGCCCAGCTGGGCCGGCAGCCCCACACACCTGTCTTGTGCCCACATTGCTCCTGGACGGTGGCCCCTTTTCACGTCCAGGGCTACCTCCCCCACTCTTAGTGTAGTCGTCACTTCTGCTCCTGAGCTCCCAGAGTGCCGGTCAGTCTGCCTCAGCTGAGTGCTGCCATTGAGGCTGGGGCCCCACTGGCAAGGTCAGGCCCCACCTGAGGACCTTGTTCCCTGCTGGGTGGGTGGGTGGGTAACCAGCCTCCAACAAGTCCAGCCAACAGACGATACACTCACAGCCACTGAGGTTGGTGCCGGGCACTCAGGGTTACCCCAGCCAAACGAGGAGCGTGCCATGGCTGTGGGGACTGTCAACAGCTCCCCACTGACTGCCTGGCTGGGGCCCTCTGCCGTGCCTCGGTTTGCCCTTTGAGACTGCACACACTCTCACGGCTGCGCAGATAAGAAAGAACGTGAAGTTGGGAGCAGTTTGCGTCCCCGCCTGCGGGCACACCCTGCCCACCCCTCTTGGCCACTGTGTTTCTAGGAGCCTGCCGTGCTGTGCTGCTGTCAGCCGTGGACCCTCTCCTCGGCGGGCCCCTCCCCCGAAGGCCAGCCCCTCCCACTGCCCTAGCTATCTCTGTCCCCATCTCTTGTTCCTCCTGGTTGACAGGTCTGGAGTCTTTGCAGCGAGAGCTGCTCCACAGTCCCTGGGGCGTGTGTCACCAAAGCAGGTGCCTGGCCTCCCTGAGCCTGATAGGCGGTGACCTTTGGGACAAAGGCTCGAGGTGTGGGCCTGGGTCAGGGAACTCCTCAGAGCTGACTGAGCCTGGCCAGGGTCTGTTCCAGGCCCTTGGACCTGCTCCCAGCCGGGGTCTGCGAGGCTGAATGCCCAGCAGTGTCTTTGTGTCCCCTCGTTTGCACCTAGGGCCCAAGTGCTGTGCACCTGGGAGAGGACGGCAGCGGGGTCAAAGCACCAAGGCGGGGGTTCAGACTGCACTGGGGCCCAGGGATGTTCAGGGTCCACTGTAGAGATGGGGGTGGGGGCCGAGGCAGCTGAGCAAGGATCACCCTGAGGGGCCCAACAAGAGCTTCTTGGGGCCCAGCAGGTGTTGGCCACATGGGTCGGGGATGGGGAGCGGTCCGGGTACAGAAGGAACTTTGGGGTTGCCCCTGAGACCCCAGGGTGGTTGCCTGACTGGGCGCCCTGGGAGGGGCTTGGAGGCCGAGGCAGCTCTGGGCAGTGGGCGCTCAGTCTGCAGGCAGAGGACACTGAGAGACCCACCACCATCCCAGCCACCGCCGACCAGGGAGAGTGACCTGTGCACAGCAGCCGGTGCTGCAGGCTGGACAGCGTGGGTGGGCCGCGCACAGCCTGGAGATGCCGCCTCCTCTGGGCTGGGGCCGGATCGCCTCTCCTACCTCTTCTCATCCCCACACAGTCAGAGCAGGGGGCAGAGACTCGGCCCTGCCCGGCCTGGACTGAGGGGTGTGTCCCGACTGACCAGTCAGACCACGTCCCAGCTGGCAGTGTGCTGTGGGTGCTAAGCAGATCAGAGGCCACGAAGCACCACCTCTTGCACCCGTCACCACGAGGGCCACACCGGCACCTGGCCGCCTGGGACTGTGCCAGCGGGATCTGCTTGGCGACAGCTCTGACTGCCGTGTCTCCCAAGAAACCAGGCCCCAGGGGGCAAAGAGGAGTTTCCTCATAGGAGCCTGGTCCCTGGGAGGCCAGGCCCATTAACTCCTGCAGACCAGGTGGCTGGCAGGGCTTGGTGGCCTTGTGATGGCTGGATGCCCCATTCCAGCTGTCCCAAGACCCAGCTCGGCTCGCTTCTTCCTTATCAGACTCCCGTATCTAGGTCTACCAAAGAGTGCAGGTCGCGGGGAGCTTTGAGCATCTCAGATTGACAGCATCAGGATGCCAGGGGCTCGGACACCACTATACAAAAAGGGAAACTGAGGCTATGGAGGAAGGGATCAG